AATTGCACAACAAAGGAATAGACCATTAAAACGACTTTATGATACCCTACACCACTTTTCTAATTTAGTAGAGCTCTACATAACAATTAAAAATTTTGATGGAAGAATTTAATCATACACACTATGATTATAATTATAATTTAAAGTTCAAAGGACTAAATATGCCGAAGCATTTGTATCTTATAAACTCGGACTTGTATTGCCCATTTGGTGCAAAATTAATTTGAAATCAGATAAAGATATATATGGGAGCTATATCCAAATCTGAACCGATGTCGATAAAATTTGGCAAAAGATATTTCTGAGCTGTATTTGATATATTTCCCTGAATATCGTTGTTACGGAATGCATATTACGGCTGTGTGTAACAAATACAACAAATCGGATGAACAATATATATGGGAGCTATAGCTATATGTGAACCTATTTCGATCAAATTTGGCATACTTATTTTCAGGCCTAATTTGGTTATATGTGCAAAATTCTATTCTATTCTATACAAAATACCATTCGGGCTGATATTACACGTTTGGTGCACAATAAAATGCAAATCGGATGAAGATATATATGTGAGCTATATCTAAATTTTTACCGATTATCTCCAATTTCAATAGTGTTCGTCATTGGGCCAAACAAATGATTTATGGAAAATGTCATCTGAATCGGTCAATAAATGCGAACTGTAGTTTGTTTACAAAAATACATAGACAGACGGACGGACATGCATAAATCGACTCAGAATGTGATTCTATGCAGATCATCAAAAGGAACTATGGGTCTATCTCAAAGACATAATACCCTGACCACCTCGTGGTGTAGGGTATAAATAATAACGAAAACCAACATTCCTTCCTAGGACATCAATCAGTTTCCCAACTATTCCTTATGTCTTAGTCGTGATTTAAATGAAGACAAGTTGTACATCCCATTACCTAACTATTATTTCACGACTCCAAATAAGTAAACAAACCAAATGTGATTGCTTTCCGGATTTTTATTTTCTCCAATAAGTATGTTTACATTGCGTGCAACTAATTAAAATGTTACTTGGAAATTGTTTATAGCTGCTAATTAGACTATATTCCGAAATTATTTATATAAATATTACAAGCATATATGTACACATACAAATATACTTATAGTATATGCAAATTCTGAAAGCACACAGACGTGGATTTAACAACAATAACTCTCAATTAAATTACAAATGCTGTAATTGATAAAAAGGTAGCGAAGGTGGAACGGCAATTCAAACAACGACGATAGCAGTGATGTGGATGTAACCTCATAACGCTGACGAACAACACTCAATGCGATGGACATACTTGCAAAAAATACGGCGTCACCGTGACACATTACACGGAAGCAGTGATGACACTCATGGACAGCTTGGTATTTTGTTTTGTTTCAAACGTTATTAATAAACGTGGCGCCCAATTAAAATAAGGGCATTTTCAGAAAAAAATAACAATAACATGTTGACAGGCCCCCTGTCACAATTCGAAAAATGTAATAGAATTCCAATGATAATTTGCATAATTAGAGATAGATTTTTCTCAATAAATCACAGACTTTAATAGTGCTGATTTCCTGAAGATTGTAACGTACCCCTTCGGTTCATCAGCATTGCACGCCCTCCAAGATAACTTATATGATTATATGATTTCGTTGCTGCTACAGCTTATTATGAATGTACCGACTGTTCTACTTATTCGAAAGAGGAGCCCAAAGTATAAACCAGCTGTAAGGAAGGTCAGAATAGATTTAACACCAAGATGGGATTGAACCGACTACGTTATCAAATCGTATAGATTACGGATTACTGTCAAAATGTACAAAATATGGTCCGATTTCCGCCCTTCTTCTATTCGATTGCCCTTATATACCGTCATTAATAATTCTAGAAGATCTGAAGCCAATTTCAATGTGACTGCCACAACAACATGTATCAATTTTTATACCCGACACCACACTGTGCTGCAGGGTAATATGTCTTTGTGCATTTGTTTGTAACAGGCATAAGCAAACGAGATAGACCCATAGTCCCTTTTGATGATCTTCAAATGCACGTCCGTCCGTCGGTATGTCTATGTTTTTTTCTGAGAACAAAATGAAGGTCCTATTTATTGTTCGATTGGTATGAAATTTTGTGCAGATAATTTGTTTGGCCCAAGGATGAACGCTACGAATTATGACCTTCAAACCGTCACTGCCCGAATGTTGCTCTACGGTAATTTTTTAGCCTATTCCCGGCGAAGCGCTTGCTTGAGGTGACCGACACTTTGGTACTCCAAAATACTCCAGATGGATTGTTATCCGGAGATTTTGGTGGCCATTGTGCGCTGGAAATAAAGGAACCTCATTGTGTAACAATTCTTGGGTGGCGCGTGTGAGTGCCATGGTGCTGAGTCCTTTTGGAATGTCCAAGGTCTGCGGCCAAAATTTTTATACACCCTCCAGAATATTTTCGCGATATTTATTTATTTTGATGCCACGGTCGATTAATACGAGCGGAGAGCGACCATCGGCTGTTATGACGGCCCACACCATCACCATGGCCGGCGCTTGAGTTCTGGTGGTCAACCGAAGGTGCACATTTTCAGCTGACCTCTTTGACAAGTAAACACGATCATTTTGGTTTGTTTACAAACTGCTGGACAGCGAATGTTTTCTCATCAGAGAAAACCAAATTGGACAGTTCACCACTTTCGGCCATGCGAAACAACTCTTTAGCTCTTTTGAGTCTATTTTCTTTCTGTTATTCAGAATTTCAATGGCTTTACGCCGAGATCATTTTTCAATATTTGCCGAAAGGAATATTGCGATATGTTCAGCTCACGAGCCATTTTTCGGCCACTGTGACGAAGGTTTCGATCAAGTCGCTTCTTTACTTTTCGAACCACATCTGCTGATGTTACTGTTTTCTTCCGGCCACTTCCTTGACGTCGGGCTAGGCTATCAGTACCACGGTAACGAGCGATGGTACACAAAAGATTTATCCACATTTATATGCTGGAGTGCTCTAACGATAGCCACTCGTGGTTTTCCAGCCAATATATGAAGAAATCACACTATCACGCTGGAATTCCATCACGAATAACTTTTTGTCTGGATAATTCTCATGCTTTTGTACGCTTGTAAACAATATAATGAGTTGTCACTGGAATAATATTAACAGCTGTCGGACGAGTTGCTTGGAACAGCAATCTGAAGTTGGTTGCAGTTTTTTCATCTCACCCTGTATATCATTATCCGATTTTACGTTTATTGTGCGCCAAATGATTAATATCAGCCCAAATGGAGTGAATTTTGTGTTTAAGTCCATTACAATCGTAATATGCACTCAATAACAATGATATATGGTATCAGATAAAGAAATACCTCTGCCAAATTTTATCGAGATCGGTCATATGTGAAATAAATTTACTTCAGTCAAGTTTAGTGGAAATTGATATAGCTTTTATAGGTTAGTTTTAACCTACTTTAAATTTAAACCGCTCTAAAGCTTTATTAGCGATTATTTGCTACACGTGACTCTAATAAATGTTCAAAGTTATCTTGAGTATCATACAGTCGGCACCGCCCAATTTTTGTCTTTTCTGAATTGTATATGTTTCGCACAAGGCATCGTAATACTTTGTATCAGAGTGGAGTATAAAAACTGAAGGCGTTAAATTGTATCATACTTCAAAATTGCATCTACTTCATGTCAAAACGATCTTAATTAAAAATCTTAGTTGAAATTGTGTTGAAAGAGTACCATAACTTATAATATTCCGATACTTTTGGAGTTGTCATTTTTTTCAATTTACACCAATTTTTTTTGTGTTGTTCCAAAAGTTCAGTATATGAGAATGAATTGGGAAAGTTTTTTTACTATTTTTAGATCCACCACCATACAATTAAGTTAGTCATTCCGTTTGTAAATCACCGAAAAATCCTATTCTTCATTATTATATAGAACGCCTACGGACTACAATATCGAGTAGCCCCCATATAACGGTACCTCCCGATGTTTGATACTTTGACTTTTTTAAGCTACATTTTCTGACGAAATCGTTACCAATTCGGCATTTAGAGTTCGTTATCGATGCATTCCCCAATTTCAGTTTAAAATAGAACTTGTTTGAGTGCTGAAGTCCGATACTTTTTCAATATATTATTAGCTTTATGGTAGAGGGTATTTGAAGTTCGGCCAGGCCATGCCAGGCCCTTTTTTACTTGTTATTTCATAGAATTGTTGGTTTTCTTAGAAAACTAAAGGAAATTAGACTGGTGGTCAAGAAAGCGTTGCTGATCAATTGTGGAGTAAATCTTACTGGAAACAAAAAAAGACACAATAGGTACATATTTCGTGTTTACATCAGGAAAACGTTTGGCTTAAAGGTGGGATGACAAAAATAAAAAAATAATATTTCAGCAGTTGGGACTGCATTACACATCAAACTCGTTGATATTTTGCACAGATTTTAAGATTTTTTTTTTAATTATATGGAAGATATATATTTTAATTATATGGAAGATATATATAGAAGAGATAAAAGCATATTTTTAATGCAAAACATAATGCTCGATGAAAACTATTAAATACGATTTTGCAAAATAATTTTTTTTTGAATTATTCCAGCTTTGTATCATATTGGTATACCAATAACATCTTTGGTGAAACCGAATATAAATACGTACATTCAAAAATATACTTGCACACTTATGAACAACCGCACAACATTACCCTGACCAAAATTGTGTGCCTATTTCGAATTAATACAGTTGGTTGATAATTAATGCTAATCACATCATTCCAGACATCCATTCATTGTTTACCACCTACCACAATGCGAATGCGCATAGCCAGTCATAACGTCATCATTGGCATAAAAGTGTATTCCTTAATTAGTCATAGGCGGCTTATTCGCTGCACATACATACATACATATGAATCTAGACAAGTCCACAACTGATTTAACAGATATTTCCATTGTTTTTTCTTTCATCCGCAGATGCTACTTTTGACGGACCACCCTTGCATGCCGATGTCTGTTTGTCGCCAAAATCCCTGTTGCGTTTGGTTGTCGATCATGACGATTTGCATAAACGCAAACTGCAGCTATACAAAACGTATTCATCATCATCCGAAAAAGTTGAGACTAGCCACGCCGACCATGATTTAGAGGAAGAATTTAACCATTACGTCAATTATGTCAAACTAACACCGTTGACTTTTATGAAGCTATGTCCAGCTCTATTGGCTCAAATAGACCAGCAAGTTTGCATGCAACCAGCTCCATTAAGACATGTGGAGGATACCAACGAAATGATATGGAATGGTGAGTTAATACATTTTACTATGCCATTCCGTAACTAATAGAATCTATTACAGCTTGGATTTATGCCAGTGCTTCAATATTCATACTATCAGCTTGTGGACTCTTGGGAATACTATTGGTCCCACTTATGAAGACAGTAGCTTACCAAGAAATACTCAACTTTTTAATTGCCGTTGCAGTTGGTACCCTCTCTGGAGATGCACTTATGCATCTGTTACCTCATGCACTAGTTAACGAGCATGCAGCTGCGTCGCCTACATCTTCTCACGATCACGATCATGACGAAAAGGAACACGAATCATCATCCCATTCCCACGATACAACCGCTGTATGGATATGCGCTTGTGCATTTTTCACTGCAGTATTTATGTATATCATAGAGAATCTCTTACCTCTATTGAGAGGCAATGCCGATCAAGGATCTCATGGTCATGGACATGGGCACAGTCATAACCATCATCATGGACACAGTCATAACCACAGTCATACAAATAATAACATTAGCAAAGAAATTTTAGCATCCAATAATTCCACAGCTACAGAGAATAATGGAGAAGTGTCAGTTCCTGAATTAAAAGATGTTCGAGAATTAAATGTGATGTTAAATGAGGCAAAATTGGACGCAAAGAAGCCATCGAGACCTCTTACACCGGTGGCTTTCATGGTCATTATCGGCGATGGTTTACACAATTTAACTGATGGTTTGGCCATTGGTGCCGCCTTTGCCTCAGCACCAGTCACAGGTCTGGCCACTGCTTTTGCCGTCCTATGTCATGAACTTCCTCACGAATTGGGTGATTTTGCACTGTTACTTCAGACTGGCGTTTCAATACGCAGAGCAATTTACTTGAACATTGTCAGCTCCGTCCTAAGTTTTGTTGGCATGGCCATAGGTCTATTAATAGCTGGTCTGCATAGTAGTATGACACAGTGGATATACGCAGGAACCGCCGGATCCTTTCTCTATATAGCTCTGGCAGATCTAGTGCCAGCAATGGCTGCGGAAAGCAAAAATAAATTAAAAACATCACTGATACAAGTCATTGGCGTATTAGTAGGGGGTTTTATAATGCTGGCCATAGCCATAAATGAGGATCAATTAGAAAAACTATTCAAATAGTTTTGATTATTTTAAACGGGAATTACTTTTGCAAAGTTAAGCCTATTGCCAAGTGCCAAGTATTAAATATATAAATATGTGTAAATCTCGTATTGGTTAAGTTAGTTGTGTATTTGTGTAGCTTTAAGTTTTACGAATTTCTAATTGTATGTCTATTTAAAATAATAAAAGATGAAAAAAATAAAAGTACATTTCAAAGGTTTTTTTTATTTTTTTTTATTTATAGACTTAAGTATTCTTTATAACAAAACAAAAATACTAACTTAGAAAGAATTAAAACAGTTTATGCCATTTGGGATATATGAGACAATTCTTCGAATGGTTCGTTGGGTTGACGAGCTGGATTCTGCAAAAGAAAATACATAATTAATTACACATTGAATAGAATAATAATCAGATGCGGTTTAAGATAGTTTTTTATTTTCTTTTTTGCTAATTAAATAGGATTCTTTCTTTCTTGCTCTGTGACCCATCTTTTGTCTTAGCGTAAATTGCAGATGCAGTATATTTTTAATTTATACTCTCAAGCCGAACTCTATATTGATGTGCAACATCGACTTTGTGAATCTCGTAATTTGTAAAAATTGCTAAGCTTATTTTATACTAGAAGAATAGTTTGTCCAAAGCTAAAGTGAGAAACTTCTAACTTAAATTTAGAATTCGACATAGCGTACACAAATATTCAACTTGCGTCCGGATTACCCAAATATGTCATTCCGGTTGTAACATTTTAGACCCCACGACTGATATATACCAGCATAAAATTCTATGTCGATTTAGCGATGTCCGTCCGTATGTGGAAATCACTCTAGCTTCCGAACGAAATTAAGTAGCTTGATAAAAATTTACTCAAATGTGTATTAAGTCTGCAGGTCTTTTGGTATTGAAAATGGGTCATGTAGGTCCACGTTTTGGTATAGCCCACATATAACGGTACCTTCCAATATTTGGTATTTTGATAATTTTGGCGACATTATTCAATGGAATTGTTTCAAATTTGGTATTTGAAGTTCGTACAGCCTATAACAGAAAATTATTTGTGCAGGTCGTTTTGGTATAACCCCCATGATACCTCCCTATATTCGGTATTTTGATGATTTTAGCTACAATATAAACAGAATTTGTTTAAGTTTCGCATTTGAATACGACAGATTTTGCCTATGTAAGTCCATGTCATCGTATAGACACTAATATAACGGCTACATTCGGTATTTTGAAGATTTTAACAGAATTTTTAATGAATTTTATTTTTTGGGTAATTGCCAAATTCCTTCCAAATGGTGGAGTGTATTCAAAGTTCGTTCTACTTGTTATTATTCATTTCTATTATCAACACCAAAAAAATTAATTCTTTCTATTGTCAATAAATACATTGTTCAACTTTGACAGTGTTGCCTAAAATTCAACGTAGCGTATACAAGCATTCAACTTCCCCACGGTGTTAAAATGTTCCATATCTGTAAGAATTAATAATTTTTAGCATCCATCCAATTGTTATATTTTCCAATTACAAACATTCACATTTTTGACACTACAAAAGTCTAGGGTATTAGGGTGAAACTAACAGATTTTATTAAAAATTCCAAAGAACCATTGATATTCGATCCCACTGGGTAAAAGTCATTTTATATGATGTAGTTTTTTGTTCGGCAGTTAATGCATTGTGAATCGGCAATAACTGCCGAAAGTAAAAGTTAAACATTGGCATATTAATGGGTGGGGTTGATCAAGAAGACATAAAGCATTGACTGAATTCAACTTACACTTACACTTCATGTTAGCCACATTTGAGATAGAAGGATAACATTTTGCACACATGTTTATTAGACAGGTTAATTTCCTAAATGGCAGGTTAAGTTTGTAAATGGGATATGTCGGTCCATCTTTTCGTATAGTCCCCATATAACGGCACCTCCCAATATTCTGCATTTTGATAATTCTAGCGATATTTTTCACCGTAATTTTATCAAATTTCTATTTGAAGATTTTAATGGATACTACAATTTATGACAAAAAATTACTTATTCAGGCTAACGTCTTCGTATAGCCCCTATATAACGGTATCTCCCAATTTTCGTATTTTTTTTTTATTTTAGAGACATTATAGACCGGATTTTTTTTAAATTTCGTATTGAAAATTCGTAATGGATACGACAGCCTATGACAAAAAAAAGAATACTTTTGCACGTCCTCGTCTTCGTATAGCCCCCATAAAACTGTTTCCCTTTAAAATGTATTTTTCGATTATTTTTTTTTTTAATTGTTCAAGTTTCTTCCAATTATTGGTGGGCATTGGAAATTCGACCCGGCCAAACATAGATGCTTTTTTACTTCTTCATTTATAATATCGAAAACAAAAATGCACAACTAGTAGTATAATATATTAATTTATACTATAAAACATTTAATTTTACTTTAAAAATTCTGGGGAGCGTCTGAAACTATCGTTGGAAATTGCTAAAGATAAGTTCTGGAAAAATCACTTTACCTTTTCATTCAAAAGTGGCTTTATCTATATTTAAATAAGCATATTAACAATATAATTAATTAATGAACGTAGACAAGCAAGAATAATTATTTTTTTTTTGGAATTGGATACTGATATTTATGTTGTAAAAATGCTGAAACATATTCTTTAGTAGTGTACAAATATTACGCTTGCGCTATTATTCAATTCTTTCTGTGATATTAAGCATTTTACTGAGTATATATAACTCAGAGGAAAAGTCTTTACTTTACCAACCGTTGTCAATTTGCGTCCGACAGTCATACACAACATTTCGTTAGTATATCAAATTTGCAATTATATTGATGCAAGGTCTCATATTCTTGATTAGCTAGCACCGTAATGAATATCATTTCAAACTTACCAATTTTCTAGCTCTCTCTTCTAGTGTTCCATACGCTACATGATTAAGAACAAAGCCTGAAGGCAGTGCAACGCCTTGTACTCTGTAAATAGCATCTTTATCTCCTTCGTCGGCTAGTTTGTGTGCAGCTGCAATAGTACATTTTCCCAAAAATCGTGAAGAAGCAATCATGGGTCCTCGTGATATGTCAATATGTGTGCCTAGTCGGTAAACTACAACGCAGCCCTGATTTTGGCTAGAAATACTTGGCAATTGTTCACGTTTGTAATGTGAATCTTTAAACATTTCTAAAGCCAACTCATTATTAATCTCAAGTCGTTCAAATTTATGGTCTTTAGCTGCCAGTTTTATCATTTCCGCCGATAATGCTCTCAGTTCAGGTTTACTAGGCTCCCATGTTTTAGAACCAAGGACGACATCATGTACGAAACTCCCGGACTTGACTAAAAATAAGTTTCCATGAAAATTAAAGAAGAAATCAAATACCACAATACATACTGTTAGGTCCTGGGAAGCTGTGCAATTGTAAATTTGCTTCTTCTTTGAAGGCATTCTGCAAAGCTGCTCCCAACATAAAACTACATGATCGCCAAAAGGCTCTGCAAAAATTCACGTTAAACATGTTACATTTCGCTTCCAATGAAGCCATATTAACTTACTTGTTCACAACATGTGGATCTGCTACGGTGAAATTCAATAGTTGCAGGGTACAGTTATCCGGTAACGGCCTATGCATATCCCAAGCAACATTTCCATCAACCAACGCCAGAACAGAACGTTTGCAGTGTCCTTCACTTAGATGTTGTGCACAATTGTAGGGTGTTGAAATATCCCGATTCATTACCAGTGTTACATCCTGTGGGAGACCCAAATACCTTACTTCGATCTTTTCTATACGACCCACACGTTCTCGTTGCCTTTTCTGCTCTTCGGTGAATAGTTCATTACGTCTCTCTATGACAGAATTGGAAAAGTAGCCTACAAAAGAATTGATAATTAATTCCGTAGGTTAATCAAACCGGCGAAGAGCGTAACATACGTAAATTACTGAGTTTCTGCCATTTGGTAAAAGAATTCCACAAGGCGGGAGTAATTTGTCGAACCGCAGACATTATTTGACAACTCTTGGCAAACTGTAACAATAATTTAATTAATAATTTTAACTAATTCTTTAACTAAATCCTAAACCACGCACGAAAATGAAATATTACAAAACAGTCGAAAGGAAATATAAAATCGACAAATTATCGATTTCTCGATTAATTATACAACAGTACACTCCGTAATATTGCACCTAATGCTATGTTCTCATTGCAATTTCAATCACGTTGTTCGCTCTCAGAATTAGGTACACCAATTAACCCGTTCATACGGCACGATTCGTAATTCACATTAACATAACGCTATTTTTCAAAATTGTTTTTATCATTATTTTACAATATTCAATCATATTTTGACCCTTTTATGTAAATGTGTACACTTTGAATACATTTTTGTGTGCTTTCTTTTTTTTTGCTAGAAAGAAACTTGTCCAACTCTTGGAAAAAAAAGCTTACCTCGAATGACTTGAATGAGGAAGAGAACAAAATTTATTCTCGATTAAATGTTCAAACCAAGGTAGAAAAATACAGGTAGATGCATCAACGCTTGAGAGCATTGATAAGTCAAAAATTTTTAAATTTATTTTCAAATATAAGTAAGTTTTTATATGTTTTCTTATACGACACAAATCGCGGGTTCTAAATTTTTTCAACAATTTTTATAAATTTAAATAATTTTTCATTCAACATTTTCAATTCCAAAATTGGTTGCGGCTGCGTCGATGTCAAATATACGCTTTATGTATTTCCACCCTTATTCTGACAGGAAGCGGGCATAGCCTCAGTGCTGTATTTCTGTAATTTTACAAAGCTATTCTACCTCCTCATTGACCCATGCTTAAGATGAGAGTACATAAACAGCTTGAAGTCTCCGCATTACATATTTTATTTATGACATATTATATTCTGCCGTCGTCTCCCTTATAATTTGACATTCATATGCCTAGCCATGATGGCACGCTGCTAATGTACCCTCACATTTAAGCCAGTCAAAAAAGAGTTTAACGTATTTTCGTTTTTAGTCATGGACTGGCATTTTCGTAAAAGAACAAAGACTCGTAGGTTGAACTAGTATGAATTATGGGCCAAAATTGAACTAAGTCAACCTAAAACTTCATCGTTTTTACGAAGAAACTAGCCGTTGACTTAAGACTGCAAGAAACCTTCTATATACCTGCACCTTTACGCCAGTAAAAATATTTGTTTATGTATCTCCACCTTTAGTACACTCTTTTGACTGGATTTCTTTATCATCTTGGACTCTTTGGTAATTCTTGTATTTCCTTTGAGTTTAAGTTTTATCACACATTCCTCTGTGTTCTATATTTCTTATAAGCACTTTATCGACCCATGAATCCCTATGTTAAAATTGTGTTTTGTCATTGCGATCATTGCGGCTTGCAAAATTAGTTTTGTTTGATTTCAAAGCACTACGACGTTATTGAAGTAAATTTGTAAAAATGCAATTGGAACAATTTAGAGATATACCAAAATCTGGTTTCAACTTCGATAACTGCAAAAGGTGTGTTCTTATTATTGTCGACTGTCTCATTTTTTAAATGTTTTTCGCAGGAATGCTGAACTCATTATAGGCGGATTTCAGCCTCCCAAAACAGTGAAAACTGGCACAACAATCGTCGGCATAATCTTTAAAGATGGTGTAATTTTGGGTGCAGATACACGTGCCACTGAGGGCCCAATTGTATCGGACAAGAATTGCTCCAAGATTCATTACTTGGCTAAAAACATGTAGTAAGTACTAAATCGGGATTGTTTCTATTGATCGCCGTGTTAATGTTTTAAATGATTTAGCTGTTGTGGCGCTGGAACTGCGGCTGATACTGAAATGACAACAGATATGATAGCTTCTCAATTAGAGTTGCATCGTCTTAATACCGGAAGACAAGTTCCGGTTGTAGCGGCTAACACTCTTCTAAAGCAAATGTTGTTCCGCTATCAAGGTCATATTAGTGCGGCTTTGGTTTTGGGTGGTGTGGATAAAACCGGACCCTATATTTACTCCATACATCCACACGGCTCTACTGATAAACTACCATATGCTACTATGGGTTCTGGTAGTTTAGCCGCCATGTCAGTGTTTGAAGCCCGTTGGAAACCCGACATGAGCGAAGAAGAGGGTAAGAAACTTGTTCGCGATGCCATAGCAGCAGGCGTTTTCAATGATTTAGGATCTGGATCCAACATTGATTTATGTGTAATTCGCAAAGACTCCACTGACTATTTGCGCAACTATGAATTGGCCAACAAGAAAGGGGAGAGACAGGTTTGTATTCTAGTTCAGTTGATATTACGAATATTTTAATTGTTTCTGTACACTATTTCAGCTTAACTACACTTATAAACCAGGAACCACTGCTGTCCTGGATACTAAAATAAAACAATTTGAAATTACAGAAGAAGTACATATGATACCAATGGAAACGGCATAATTTAACAAATATTCAAAAATGATTTAGTCTCTAATGTTTCAGAAATTCAAAAATAATTTACTTTGATAATAAAAATTATATTTTGAAGGCAAAAAAAAAAAAAAAAAAACAAAAACAGGCCTGAAAAAATTAAAAAAAGACAAATTTTTTTTTAGTTTGATACATAAAATTTGGCGTACTCTAAGAAATACTCACTTTAACCCCTAAGGTTACATGTTCTGCAATTTGTATTACCCGTATACCCAATGTCCCAATCTTGAACCCAATTGAATAGAAAATCATTACATTTTTATAAATTATAAGATAAGATATTTTGAATTTTCGGTAGGATTGTTGTTGTTTTTTATTGTTGACCTGCTGTATATTAATTCTTAATAACTTTATTTAGGCTTAAGGTCAATTGAAAACATCAGTGTTTTATTTTTATAATTTTGATTTTTTTCCGATATTTCGACAGTCACCTTCAGGGAAAAGCTACAAAGATATAAAACAATTAACAAATATGATAACAATAATAATACACAAATTACTTTTTATTGAGAAAAGCAACAGCCTTGTTTCACCGTCTATGCTAAACTATGTTTTTGTCTGTCTATGCTTTTGAACTAAGTTCCTATAAGTGTGTGCACAGTAGTCAGTATCAGTTTTATAGTTCATTCTAACATCGGTTGGTATGTTTATTATATTTAACATTTCTAGGGTAAAACGCCTTTTTTAATTATTTTCTTGTGTCAGTATTTCAACGTCTTTAACATTTGGTTTGTGACCAGTCATCGTGATCTGACTTATGTCCAGATAGTCTAGTCTTAAGTTTGCTTTTAGTTGTACCAATAATACCTTCTGGCATATGTTAGTTTCGTCGCCTGCTCATTTTATCTTAGGATTTGTAAAAATATATGTGTTTGACATATGATAAAGCAGTCCACTCATTTTACAGCAGCAGTTTCTAGGAAGATGTAAATCAAAAGTAATTACTTGAATTACAAGTATTCTCTCAACTTCTTCAGTTCATAAGATGTGTTCAATGTTGTTAAAGAAAGAGAAAGGGTAAGTTGAAATTAATAACAAGGATTTACAGAAAATGTAGAGTTGGATACAATTATTTAAATTTAAGTACCGTGGCTGCGTTTAATCAATAAAAAGGTTAATAAAAAGTAGTCTGGTTTAAATTAAACATTTTGGATGGAGGGTGGATTTGTTCGACGTATATGCAATGAGTTTGACAAAATGAAAACACTATCGGTTCTGGTTTAATATTTTTACAACTTCGATCGCTTAGATACATATTTGATAGTACCTCAGAGAGATAGTACCGTAATTCTAAGACGATTTATCCATGTCCGTATGTCGGTCGGTGTGTCTGTCTGTTGTAATCACGCTATCTTTCGAACGAATTGAGATAGAAGGCTAAAATTTTGCACACATGCTTATTTTGCCAGTAGGTAGGTTAAGCTCGTAAATGTGCCATGTAGGTGCCATATACTACGGCCTGAGACAGAAAATTTTCTGTGCAAGTCCCCGTCTTCGTATAGCCCCTATATAACGGTACCTCCCTACATTCGGTATTTTGATGATTTTAGCGACATTATTCACCGGAATTGTTTCAAATTAAGTATTTAGAGTTCGTAATGGGAACTACCATCTGTGACAGAAAATTTCCTATGCAGGTCCAGGGCTTCGTATAGACCCCATATATCAGTATCTCCTTATATTCGGTATTTCGACGATTTTAGGTACAATACTCACCGAAATTGTTTGAGATGTCGTATTTGAATTTCGTAATGGAAGCTACAGCCTGTGACAGAAAATTGTCTATACAGGTCCAGGTCTTCGTATAGCTCGTATATAACGGTACCTCCCTATGTACGGTATTTTGATGATTTTGGCTACATTATTCTCCGTTTATTTCAAGTTGTGACAAACAATGCCTATTTAGGTGCACGTCGTACAGGCCCTAATATAACGGCTATATTCGGTATTTTTAAAATGTTAACAGAATTTTTGGCGAATGTTATCTTTTTTTCGAAAATTTTCAAATTCGTTCTAAATGGTGGAGGGTATTCAAAGTTCGGCCGGCCGAACTTACTGCTTTTTTACTTGTTTTTTTTTTTTCCCTTTTTTTTTCGAAAGTATGGATCAGAATATGGATCAGAAAATTCTTTGGCCCACCGTGAAACAAAACCTAAAACACCATTTGTTATATTGCAAAATCAGAGAAGAAGATCTGGAGAAGCACATATGCTTACATTTGCTTAAATTTAAGTCCATAACCTGCACCATTGAAAAAGGCTATCTAAATCGTTTTGAAGTAAACTAGCTTGCGTACATTAACAATTTCGGGTAATTTATTTAAGTAGGTAAATCGTTGATAAATAAAAGAAAGAGGACAGGTCCAAGGTGACTTCCTTGTGGAACACCCGATGGAACGTTAATCGTTTTGAATAGATACCCTTCAAACAAAACTAGTTGTGATGTATCTTGTAAGTAAGATGATATCCATTTGACTAAGTTTGTGCTGAAACCCATATAATTTAATTTATATATTAGGAGTTCATGGTTAACCCTATCAAAAGCTTTACTAAAATCAGTATAAATTGTATTAGTTTGTTTACGCTGAACAAATCCTTTTATTACTACTGACGTAAATTGTATAAGATTTGTTGTAGTTGAAAGACCACTACGAAAACCATGCTGATATGGACTCAATATAGATTGAATTTTCTGTAAGATTACTGCAGTAATTAATTTTTCGAACAATTTTGGTATGGCACTTAATTTTGCAATTCCTCTATAATTTGACAAATTAGTAAGACTACCAGACTTATGTCAAGGTATAATATAAGATTTTTTCCAGAAAGTAGGAAAGTGACCAAATTTAAATGAATAATTAAACAATATAGTTAAAGGAAGTGCAAATGTTTCTGAACAATATTTAAGAATTATATTAGGTATGCCGTCCGGTCCTGGACATTAAATCGAGTTTAAACTACGCAGACTATTGTAGAAAAGGCATACAAATTTGATCAGCCTGTGATAACTTATAAGAATACTAATCTTTAATTTGGCAAGATGTACTGGAATAGATTGAGGCAAAAAAATCTGCGAAACATTCAGCAATATCTGTGCCTGTGACAAATTTTAAATTTATTGTTATATTTCAATACTGAGGGCTTTGAGGAAACTTTTCGTTTAAGATTAACAAAATCATAAAAAGATTTAGGATTGGATTTAAAATTATTTTTAATCTTGTCCAGGTAAAGATTATACAATCTACGAGACTCTAAAGTGTATTTAGATCTAGCAACAGAGTAATTAGTATAGTCTATTGCTAAGCCTGATTTTTTATATTTACGAAAAAGATTATTTTTAGAATTTTTTAAACTTAATAACTCAGGGTTTATCCATGGATACTTATTTGAATTTTTAACTCTAGTGTTTGGAACACATTCCAGTTTAAATCTATTTAAAATATCATAAACTTTATCAATTATATATTCTAGACCTTTATGGCTGTTACACAGGCACACAGAAGTCCAATTTACGGAGGAAAAGAGGGTATTAAGTTTTCGGAAATTAGTTTTTTTTTTTTGTAATTAAGGACAGTTCTAAATGAGTCGGACTGACTTTCTTCAATTACACAACTGTGAGTCATAGAGATATATAAACTTGGATGGTATATATCTTCAGGAGTGCATATTGTAGGAATTCTGAATATAGGTATGTCTGGTTACTTTTCCTGCAGGAATTGTCCAGCAACATCTTTCTGAGAGAGTAAGGTAGTTTTATTCTCTTTTGCAAGGAAAATGCGAAAAGTAAACAGACGGTATTCCTGCAGAAGCTTGCAACTAATCAGCTTTTTTGTCAAAACAACCCAATTTGTCCCCCATTAAAATAATTAAAAGAAAGGAAGCACCACCAATTTTAAAAGTTTTATAAATAAAAAGAAAATTAGCAATAAAATACAAATATGAGCAATAAAACAAAGATAGATTTTATGTGTTCCCCGGAATCCTATTGAAAATAGTCTTTTATTTCCTTATTATATATTAATATTTACGTTTTCCACATTTTTTAAGTTGTTCTCCAAAAATAATTAGTCTTGTTAATTCCAAAATAATATTTTCAAATTAAAACTCTCACTGAAAGAACTGTCAAAATTTCTCTCTCCAACCGCTCTCTTTTGCAGAACTTTCGGGTTAACAGACGACTTCCAGTAACAATTTGTAACAATTGTTACAAATTTTAGGGTAACCAGACACACCTTATATCAAATGCTGTGTTTTATTTTTTATTATTATTATTTATTATTATTATTAATTATTCTTACAAAAAAATTGGTACGCCGACTGTTCGAACATGCCATACCGACAATTCGCAAGTGGTGCCGACTACTGGCAAAAAAGCATTGTTTTAATAAAACTACAAAGTTATGAAATTTAATAAAAAGTTATTAAAACTTTATTTATTATAGCAAAAACTATATACAACACTATGTGTTGCGGGTATTATAAGTTTGATTGGGCCAAAAATTATGCAACACCTCGAAATATTGGCTCCCACATAGGAAAGTATATATGGATCTTCCTATCTCGCCGAGCTGAGTCGATCTAGCGATGTATGTCCTTCCGTCCGTCTGTCCATTGTAATTTGTAATCACTCCACAGGTCGCAATTATGGTCCGATTTAGAATGGAGGTGCTAGGGTCAGAATAGAACCCTATTTCTTTTGGATATGATCGCATAATATTTAGGTGTTGAAATGGACCAAAAACTGAAAAAATCCTGATTTTGCAGTTGCTCTACAGGTCGCAATTATAGGCCAATCAAAGCGGAAGTTAGAATGGGGCTGGGCAGAAGCATCGCAATTTTGATGGTCATCGGGTAATATTTAGTGGGTGAAATAGGCCACAACATTTGTGTTGTAAAAATTCAACTTTTCCATTAAACCGCGAATATTTTAATCCCGAAAACACAAATAGACGAACAGGTCAATTCTGACCTTTACGTAGATGCCGATAGTAAATATATTGGATATATATAGCGAAATACAGTATTTTTTGCTTACCTGCACAATCAAAAATTGC